GTGAAATTCCATCTTTGGGAAAGGGTGGAAAATAATTCATTACCCACAAGAACGCGGAAACACTTCTGGACTCTATCAAGACTGGAAAATGAAGACTGAGTAGCTCCTAGCCATATATGGCAGGAGTACTTAATTTTGCTAAGTTCTGGTTATTGTGGAGGTAGAGGATAACAGGAAGAATTAGGTACTTACTGGAGTGATAGGGGAACCGACTATTTATCCATTCAGAAACGAGCACCCAACCTTTTATATATATATATATACACACACACACACACACACACACCGGATGTAAAAATAAAACAGTACAAATCGTGTAACAGCAAAATTGTCCTGTTGTTAAATTAAAAGTTGAATCGTTGTATCTTAGAAATGATATTTTACTGGAATTCTCTGAGGTTTTTATTACACTATTGGATTCGACTTTGAAAAATAAGAATGTAAGTTGAAATGATGATCGCACTTACTGTTGCCACCTACTGATCCAGTTTTCCTCTCTACTGTTCCTCTTTTTTAAACTTCTTCGCCGTTCTCTTGATGGTTCTTGAATGTATTTTGAAGATCGAAGACAGTATGGATGTTGGTACCATTACTAAAGGCCTGAATGATCTTTTCCTCTCACCTTTGATCATTTGGGAAGACGTAGTAGGGCTGACACAAAATGATTTTTCAGTGATTTCTCCGACAGTGATTCGTACGACAAATGGTATCAAGATGGCCAAACGCCGGATCTGAAAACCTGGAAAAAAGAAACTCAAGTAGTTTTGTGTTTTTTTTTATTAAATATTAAGCATTTTGTGGGATGGGCAATTATGCTGTCGTAGTTGGCCCCTTGGAACTAGTCATATTATAATTATCCCCCCACTGTTTGAGTACCTGTAAGCTCAATCAACTGGAATATATCACAAGGTTAGGTTTAAAATGAGAAACTCATGCGTAAAAAATCAGTACGGAAAATTCTTCATTTCTTTCAGTGTGCCATTTGTATGTCTTAACCTCCTCATTAACTGTAATGGAATTATTTCTTCCTAGAAGGAAGATCCCTTGAGATTTGATCATAAGTTAAAGAATTTTCTCTTTATATACTTATAGATTTTTTCACAATTCTCGCCTGTAGAATTCCTTTCCAATTCCTTGCTTTCTTGCCTCCTAAAAACCTTCACAAACCTTTATGCAACGCCAATCACTATCTTCTGCCTACCTGAAAAATGCACTTTTATTGTCCTTTCTCCTTAAGTTTTCTTATGCTCTTCAACTCCCAGTAACCCCCTGTGCCCTAATGATATTTACATCTTGCTTGGAGTGAAATGATTGAAAAATATTCTCATGCAGTATTCATGGTTTTGTGAAAAAAAAAGAAAACAACGTGAAAAATAATATTTTAAAAATTCACATATAAATTACCATACGGAATTATTTAAAAATTACAATAATCTGACCATTGGTAGTGAATATAATTCTCACTAAATGCTCGCATAACAAGGTTTTAGGTTAGATTAATCTATGATTAATGAATTTTATTGTGCATCATTATGACGTTTAGTCGAACAAGTATTGCATATCCTTGCTACCGTTGATGTTTTCTAACTGCATTCGTTTCCACCAGTCATAGTGGTATATCTATCACGATTCTTTAATAATAATAATAATTCAGTGTAGTGATAATGAGAATTTTGAATAATTTTAGTGTAAATTCTATAAGTATGAAAAAACTTGACATCGTTTTAAGGACATTGGAGACGAGGTTTAAGCCCTTATATGCGTCGTACTGAATTTTCTTTTTATATCCATGCTATAAAAAAGAAAAAAACAACTTTACTGTTATTTAGAGAAAAATGCTAATCAGTAAAATGATGACATATATTCGTAAAAAAAAAAATTAAAGAAAAAGAAACTTAAAAAATCAAAACAACCTAAAAAGAAAGAATTAAGAAACTGGAAAAATTTTGTTAGAAACAAAAGAAGCGTTGAACAAAAATAGTGCTGAAGAGTTTAATATCAATACGCCCAAATGGCAGTGAATGATGGGCAATTTACTCACAATTGATTGTGAAGATTTGAGACAACGGAGAAGGATATTGGGAATACCATAGACGTAGCATGTAAGCAACAAAGGAAAATCGTAACAAAATTAGAAATAAAATTAGAAATTTAAAGACACAACTTGCGGCTGACGGTAAGGTGACGAAAATAATGTGATTTAGATAGAACATTCCATTTTTGATTATGTGGGGAGGTTTGATATCCCCGATCTAGCCTATGCGTGTATTCAGAATCTTCTTCAGAACGTAGGCAATCATGGCTCTCCGCAACCTCCTTTCTAGCTCTTTGTAAATTTTTCTTTATGTTATCTCTGTTCTGATAACCATTTCCACAAGCACATCAGCTGCTGTTATCTTCTATTCATTTTACCTTTAATATATCCAGTAAGTGTCAAATTTTCTAAACCATATTCCCTTATTATGTACCTTAGAAATTTCAACTCTTTCTGGTTTTATGGATAAGTGGCCTTTTTGTTTCCATTTTCCCTAAAACTGATTCACATGGTCAGCGTATGGGATTTTCAGCATTCTTGAATAGAATCACGTTACTGTCGCCTCAAGTCTTTTCTTCATCTGTAAAGAGATGGTACAGTTTTCACCAACATAAAGGATGACCAATATTATACAAAAGCTCAGTACTTTCTTCTTTAATTCTAATGAGGTTTTCTGCGTTTTAATACTTTGCTTTGCTTCTGGAAGCTAACTTTCGCTATCCCAATGCACCTCCCGGATTTCGGTGTTGCATTTTTCATCCTCTGGTAAATCACTCCCAGGATATGTAAATATTTTACCTGTTTCATTTTGGTATCTCCAATTTGTAATTTGCATGCTGGACTGTACTATTTGGTGACAACCATAGATTCTATTTAAGTACAATTGATGTTTATTCTTTTCTTCTCGATTGCTTTTGAGACTTTCTATAGCAACGCTTGTATTTTCCTTTCCGCGTTTTCTATCAACGTGTCATCTGTATATAAAATATTTCTAAATTTGTAGCTGCCAATAATGAATCCTGCTATGACTCTTAATTCTTTTAAAGTCATCTCACTGTAAAGGTTGAATTTACAGTGTGAAGACACATCGTTGTCTTATAACTATTCCAGTTATTTTATATTTACTAAATTAATTTTGTATCCGTATGCAGGCGGTTTGCTGCCACTATAGGCTTTGGATTATTCTAATATTTTTCACAAATATTTCAAAGTTGCCTTAAGAAATAGAAAGAGCGAATCAGAGAGGGCACACAAGTTTACCTCAACCAGGAAGATGATATGTCCCAGAAAGGGATATATTTTTTCGAACTAGCAAAGTGGTTTTCGACTACTGTAACCGGGTAGGACAATCTAACTGGTAACCGTAATGGACTGATCCACGTCGTAGTGGTAGGCAATAGGCGTCCTCTCTGTACCTCCACATCAGTCTGTATTTATGGCTGACACCAGCCAATCATATTACTGTGAGGGGGGGGGCAAGGTATATGCATATTCATTACATCAGAAGAAATGGCAATGTTGTATAGGAAGGAAATATGCAAGTAAGTTATAGGAAAATGAACCGTGTGTACCAAAGGACTATAAAGAAATAATAACATTTTTACTATGCAATCAGTATTTAAAGTGATTGATTGACATGTACTTTATAGTTTACCAAGCTTTTGCCGTTTATTTAAAACCAGAAATTTCTTGAATAAATCCAGTGAGAAGATATATTCTTGTTTTATACCCCCTCTCTATTTTGTATCTTTACTGAATTCGTTTTATATTCATAATTGATGGAAGGTAGTTTAGAGTATAATAAAGTTACTGATCACCAGCCTTTAGTAATCATAGAGGCGATTGACTAAAACTGTCTTTGCTAACAGACAAGCGACACTGTCTTAAATCACATTCATATTTAATGCAGGATATAAATAATATTCATAATATCTCTTCAGATTTCTATGAGATATATGTACAGAAGTTCTACCAATGTCTTCTAACTATTTATACAATTACATTTGATACATTAGTGTAGAATCTCATATCGGAATTCTCAGTCATCCTGGGTATGACGATAAACTACACCCGCATCCTCTATAAGACGATGAACTACGTCCAACAGCAAGGCCTCTGACCAGGAGCGTGGAACCACCTCTTAATTGCTGGTGTTCCTAGGTCCACCCTGACCCGGGGTGGTAGCACCTGTTAGGGGGTCCCAGCTATGGGCAAATAGTTACCCCCCCAAGCTAGAGTCAGAACACTATGAAATTATAAAAAAGTGTAAATTTTTGTAAAAAAATATTACCAGCAATGGATTAAAAAAAAAAGAAGATTATTACCAGCAATAGAATATTACCAGCAATGAATTTTTGAAAAAAAAAATATTACCACAATACATTTTTGTAAAAAATATTACCAGCAATAAAAATCTTGTCGGCATTAAATAACCCATTTTGATTGATAGTGATTTTCAAAGCGTTGCTTAGATGTGGCGCAAGGCCGAAAGTATGGGGTGCCCAATGAGGATCGAACTCACTAGTCAGTCGTAATTGTTCTAGCGAGACAAGCTTGCTAACCATTACAACTCCTCTGGGTGCCAACCCATTGAGGTTGATATTCCATAAACCAAACCAAACCAAACCAAACCAAACCAAACCAAACCAAACCAATTGAACGGGATTTTCAGGTAAGTGCCATACGTGATACACGCTTGGGCGATTAAATCTTTTGATTCACGACTAACTAAGCAGAGTATTTTCCCGCAGTAGGTTTCCGTTGCTTTTTTCATATATAGGACTAAAGGTATATTCAACCCATAACTGGGGTGGGGGGTGTAGAAGAGATAGTTTTATACCTTTCCTAAACGTATGCTAGCGGAAGTGAATGTAACGACGCCGACTTGAACTCGAACTCGTACATGGCTCTCTGATTTTTCATCCCGAGCCGATATCCATTTCGCCACAACAATCAACTCTCTCTAATGTTCCCTCTGAAAACTTCTTTTCCCTCTCTCTCTCTCTTTCTGTTCTTCTACCATTGTGCTGTTATTATTCTTCTCCTCTCTCGTAGACGCTGTCACCCTTCGCTCACCTCCTCCTCTATGTGGACTTCATTTATTTTCTCACTTCATCTATATTCTGTTTTCCTTGACCGTATTCTTTATCTAGATTCCCACCAAGCTATTAATTCCATTTCTTGTCAGTTTACGTATAAGCGGAATGCCACTTCTGAATGTCCCATAATAACGCAGTCTTAATCTCCGAGTTTCAGTACCAAATTCATTTCCTCTTGTTTCCTCTTTCTACTTATATCGAAATCGTACTTCTGTTCTGTGGCAAGGATCTATATTTTCGCGTCTGTTCTGTTTCGTTTGTACACACTACAGATTTCATATTACAGAATTTCTTTCACTTTTCTCGTGATGTCGTTTTCAGTTTTCAATGAGGCCAGTATTATAGATAACGGGACTAGAAAGCAGCACCTAACCGAAAAGATCATATAAATTGACCATCCTTAGAAACTTACGCCTGAATATGAATAATAACCATTAGGGAGTTCCACATCTGAGATCGAGGAGAAATTGATGCTCAGTTTTTCAGCTTAACCTCTTAAGGTGCTTTGAACGTCTACAGGGACTCAGGTTCACTCCAGACCTTAAGAGGAATTTATATATACATTCCATTTGTTAAGAAATGGACGAGGTCCGACAATTTATTTATTAAAGACATTTTTATTTATGTTTAACGTTGTTATATTATAGATACAAGTATTTAAGCAAATGCTCTGTTTATGATAAACAGTATTAAATAACATTTACCGGCCTGAATGTCCGAGAAATTTTCATAGAAAATATTCGTTCATAGACAGGATTCGAACCTGCATCCTATACGGAACCGTCATATACGCTGACGTGCCTTAACCACTCGGCCACCATGAACCTTATGGTAGACAAGGTCGAATTTACTGTTATAAACTACAATCTTCCATGAATCTCGTACATTCATAACTGCTCTGGCGTATCGAATGTAAACAAATGACGTCATATGTTAAGAAATGGACGAGGTCCCACAATTTATTTATTAAAGACATTTTTATTTATGTTTAATATAACAACGTTAAACATAAATAAAAATGTCTTTAATAAATACATTCCATTATATATTCTATCGTTCCTGAATGTAAATGACTCATTCTGTCATACTTTATCTTTCCAAGAGTCAGATAAGACCAAAAATATTTTATTGCTGTCACATCTTAGCAGGAACAGTTAAATCCTAACTTTCTCGCGGTCTTGGAGGGATGGTTTATTTCCTGCACTGCCGTCTTCTGGCAAAACATTCAATGTAGCCAACCTTCAGCTACACTATCATTATTTGGATAGAAAATGAGATCCATGCTTTAGTTCAACAAGCTTAGGCATCTAAATCTAAAATTAATTCCCTCCCTGTTCCAATTTTAAGGATGAAGTTCTAAAGATACCTGTTTTTTTCAAAGAAGCGCTACTTTGTAGAACGGACTGCTGTGTAGATGCTTCTTTGAATATTTCTATCTTAACCTCTTTATGTCAAATGTTAATCGTTATCTATTCTCAAGTCTTCATATTCTACACTTCCTACTTTTTTCTCGAAGAGTTTATTTACACACCTCATTCCGTAACCCCCCCTCTTGACTGGCTCTTAAGACTTGTTTTATTTAAAAGTTAAATAATTAGATACATGAAAATGAAACAGTATATTGTCCTGTTTTACCACTTTTTTTCAAAGCACTAAGTTCTGCCAATAGGATGTATCAATCTCTCCCATTGAGGAGATGCCATAATTCAGTCTAGCGTATATTATGTGCTATATATTATATTAAGTCTAACAGGTTCAGTATGGTCAGATTGGCAACTAATCTAAAGCAAAACAAAACAATCTGTTGTTAAATAGAGCAAGGGAATGAATGCTTAATGCTAACCCCCACAGGAGTGGCTCATTACGCTTTCTCTGACTGACGTATTCCACTGACATGAAGTGGAAATGCTATATTGAATCAACTGCTAGGTCTTCATCTAGGAAAGTTGGTTCACTTTGTTGAGCTAGGCATTTTTCTCGACAGAATCTATCTTACATATTTATAAAACTACCTTTCGTCCGTGCTTTCACTATTGCTGACATATCTAGTTTAGTTCTCCTGCTATATATTTAGAGATTCTTGATGCAATCCAAAGAAGAATCAGCAATGTTAGTGGTCCCGGCCTGGCATCTCAGATTCAGTCACATTCCTACCGCCGTAGGGTTATTCTCTTGAGTCATTTCCATAAATAGTTTCATAGTAATTGTTCTGATCAACTATCCTCTATGGTATCTAAACTTCAGGAATTTAAGCGCAGTACTAGACTGATGGCAAATTTACATGGCTAGATGAACCGTAAATCCTATGCTAACAGTCTCTTCTCTCGCATTTTCATTCGTGGAACTCTCCTCTGACTTCTTGTTTCGCAGTCAACTTTGATTTTCTTAAATATAAATGCACTGTCGATCATTATTTTCTGTCTTCTTTATTCTTGTGCTTTTATTGTTCTCTCTCATTAATAGTATATCAGCCATATTCTCTAACGCTCAGTAACCCCGCTAGTGGCTTTATTGCGTTGCTTGGGGTGAAATTTTCAATGAAAAATTCCGAGATGAGAACATATCATTATGTACATCCACACCAATATGCTCATTTTTTTTTTACTATCAGATGTTTTTGTCTATTGTTTTCTTCGTTTTTCAGGTAATTTCGAATTGAACACATTATTCAATCTCCAAATCTACAGAGTTCTTGAAGCAGAACATTCTACCCACCTCGATTAAATAAAGTGATCTTGAACATTATAAAAATAAAGTCTGCTTACAATCTAAAAATATATAAAAAGGGATTAATAGCGTTTTGTAGTTACATACAGTTTAGTCATAGTGATCAACGCTGCGTGATAACACTCTGTTTCGTGCCTCAAGTAATCTTCAAGTCATAGTCGCTATACCGACTGAAGTCACTATTTAGAGGAAACTGTCAGATTAAGGTAAGTGGATGAAAAAAGAAATCGGTTCTCATCAGTTCTTTTAAATTTATTGCTTCATGCATTCATATTTCATTTATTTATTAGTTTTGTATATTTTCTATTTTGCATAAGGTTTACAAGAGTTAGTTTATGGAAATTTATCTTAAGTAATAACTTGGTTGTAAGTAGCGTAGTAGGAATTTGTTTTGACATCTGCATTTAGAAGTGAGGTTTGATTAGTGTAAAGTAAACACATTTACAAATGATAAAATCCCATATGAAAATGAAAAGGCAAAACAAAATGACTATTATATAATTTTATGTGTTTGCGTATCGAATGATTACAAGATGCAATATACTTTTGATGAGGCTGAAGAACACATCGGCTGAATAATTATAATAACAATATAAATCGGGATAGTAATTTAGGAATTCACAGAAATTCAGACGTCATCTTTGACATCTTTCCAATTTCAATCCTGATATTTTAAAGCAAAATCACTTTCGAGAAAATCTTCTTGATTTTCTTTGTTTTATCGTTTATTTCGCTTTACTTGTCGATGTCTTTTTCTGTTTTCCTTCTTTTCTTTCATTAACTTACTTCTTTGCTCCGATCATTTCTTTCCTTTACTCTTTTCTCACTTTTTCAGCTTCTCTTTTTTTTATTCCCCCCTCCATTACTGTTGAATTACTTTTTTTCCCCTCTTTCTGTTTAATTTAGAGTATTGTTGTTATTGCATGTTTGATTTTCTTTTGTGTGTTTGTTTTGTATTCCGACCTTTTCTGGCACAGTTGATTTCTTTCTATATCCCATTTCTTTTTCTATCCTATTTTATATTCCTGTCTCATTTCCGTCTAATTCTCGTTTAAATATCTCGACAGAAACTCGTAAAAAATTCTCTAGTGATCGCAAACAGGAGAATATTGATCGTTCAGGGATTATTTGATTCTCTGTTTCGCTGTTCTGTCGGGAAATGACAGATAAAATATAATATTATACAACCAGATGATAGGAACAGAGAAGTAAGTTTGAATTTATATTTTTCGACGTAAACATGAAAAGTAAAGAGAAAAGCAAGGGACTTGATTTTCCAAATATGCGCAACGCAGATAAAACATTCAGTAATTAACGTTAGATTAATTTAAATAAAACGTGTTAATCCCAGATCAACCTTATGAGTATTGTCTTTTGTATTCGGTTATATATCTACCAGTAAAATGAAAGCTATTTTGTGGGATCCATTTTCGATTTGTTCACCTATAAATATCTCCTTTGTATTTCGTATCGAATTTTACAAATTTAGATATGTCTCTAACATCTAAAGGAGAATAATTTAATATTGTCATGATACAAAAGGCCATTTTCTCCCTTTGGTCAAGATAAGTTACGTGAGTCACATGGCAGCCGTTTAGTGATGTCACGAAAGCGACAGTCAAAATTCAGTGAAAGTGAAAGGTTGCTTTCTTTAGGGCAGAGGATATATCTACCTCCCTAGCAGCTTATAATTCCATGCTACCGTTTGCATTTGGGAATATATATTTCCCAGATATAGAAAGAAACTCCAATTTGCAGATCTCAGTTTGTCTCAATTTGGTAAAACTCAAAACTCGCTGTTTCCCGTTCGTGGAATATGTCCTCACATAGATGAATCCGACCCCTTTTGAAGTTGGAGTTTTAAATATGGCTTCTCCAGACACAGGAGTATCTCCATATGTAAGAGCCTTTCTTTTTGTTTCTCCTTACACTCTTCCTTTCTGTGTAGATATATGTGATATATTATTCTAAGCAGGGAACACGTGTATGTATGTATATATAGTTTTGTTGTATGTCTTAGTAGTATAAAACTCTCTTTGATAACAAAGCATGGTTGTCATTCCTTTTTATTCTTTCAGCCATTTCGTTATGTCCGTAAAAAATAGCTGTTATTAAACTTTCACCAACTTGACGCCATTTGTCATAAGAATCACTGAAAAACCCTTTGAGTTATTCAACTAGAGAGAGAACAGGTTAAAATCGTTTTGTGTCAGACCCGCTGTCTTCCTAAATGGGAAATAGTGAGCGGAAAAAGATCATTCATGTCTTCAGTACTCTGGCTTCCATCTTCAAATCTATACAAGAATCAAGCAGAGAACGGTAAATAAGTTTTAAAAAGAGTGAACAGTAGAGAAAAAACCTGGACCAGGTCACAAAAGAAAGAAGGATCATCGTTACAACTTATAGCTAAACAGATGAATTAGAAAAGATCCAACTGTATCAATAAGATGTTTGGCACTTGAGAGAGGGTTTTTAGCTATGACTGTGAAAAGAACAGTGATAAAAGACTTGAATATGAAATCGTACGTGAAACCTTTGAGGAACCTTATACTCCAGGACAGAAAATACATACATACATACATACATATATATATATATATATATATATATATATATATATATATATATATATATGTGTGTGTGTGTGTGTGTGTGTGTGTGTGTGTGTGTGTGTGCGTGTGTGTGTCTGTATGTGAACTTTCTTTCAATCTTTCATGATTTTCCCATCCTTATGATTAATTAATGATTGACATGTCATTTTCGTTTATGATCGCTTACACCACGATTCTTCTGTTAAGCTTGGGGAGTAATTATACATACTTATTGTTCAAAGTAGAGTCTAATAGAGTTATAAAAACATTGGAGAGTTCCAGTAAGATATCATTAATCATCTGTCTATATTTCTGAGATGAGGTATTATGAACACTATTTACATTATTCGGAATATTTTCCTCATCTTTGTCGCCATATTTATTACAACGTTTCAGTTGGTTGGAATGTCGAACTGAACCCTTTATTTCACTCACTGGGGTAGACTGTTCTAATTCCACGTGCCATGTTTAATGGGTGTCAGTTATCAGTTATTTTCTTTTAATCACCCCCCCAAGTCCTCCACTGATTTAACCGAGTATTGAATTCACACTCTTTAGGTCCGGTCACATGGCACAGTGTATAAAGACGTTAGGTAGATCCAGTGACAGGACCCAAAGAGTGTGAGTTTAATACCTGGTTAAGGCGGTGGAGAACTTGGAGAGGGGAATTAACAGGAGATAACTGATAAGTGACATCCATTAAACATGGCACGTGGAACTAGAACAGTCTACCCCAGTGAGCGAAATAAAGGGTTCAGTTCGACATTCCAACCACCCGAAGAAGCCCCGAGCATATAACGGCTAAAATGTTGTAATAAATATTGCGACAAAGATGAGGACAATAGTCCGAATAATGTATCATTAATCATTTCTCAGATATAACGGTTCAAATCTTAATATAACAATTGGACAATTTTGATGTTACACCCGGTATATAATAATGCCCATAACGGGGTAAATAGGAGAGTAAATATTTCTGCCGTAGCTCTTTCCACTTACAATGTTAAGGATTCAGAAATAAAAAAGATCTAAATAATAAACGCACATAAAGGTTGTTAGAAAAGATATAGTATTTCCGAAATACGAAATATTTGACAGGGTCAGTTGACAATTTCATGTTCAGCAAAACAAAAGGATGTAGTGTATAACGGCCTCTTTTCATTTGTTCCTGAACGCGAGAATTGCGGGTAAAAAATATTTTTTCTTCCAAAATTCTTCAGAATAGACTTTTGGCTTGGTAACAAAAGGCCGAGAAAACGATTGTACGAGAGCCTAGATCTGACGAAGTTATTTAAGATCATGTCTAGAGTTCTTGGGTTAATGATTTTTGTTTTACAGCACCTAACGTCGTTAAGCAAAACTAAGCCTAGAACAAACTATATCCGATAGTACATTTGTTATAAGTCATCCATAGACTAAGGTAATTGAATTTTTTAGTATTAATTCCACATCGTTAATTTTATGATGGATTATGATGTGCCACCATTCCTTTCTTCCCAATTACAGATCATAATTTCTACTTTGGAATTTTCTTTTTTTTTTGAGTCTTGCTTGAATGTTAACTTGGAGGAATGTTAATTTGTTCTTCAAGATCATCCTTATTCAATCTTTGAATACTTATGAAATACATGATATGACCAACTTATTAATCAGTACACTGGCTTCGGGAGGGAAAACAGCTACGTCATCTATCTATCTATCTATCTATCTATCTATCTATCTATCTATCTATCTATCTATCTATCTATTCATTATCTATCTATCTATCTATCTATCTATCTATCTATCTATCTATCTATCTATCTATCTCAGTCTATTCCTTTTCTATCTATCTATCTATCTATCTATCTATCTATCTATCTATCTATCTATCTATCTATCTATCTATCTATGTATGTGTGTGCGTGTGCAAATGAATATCAAGCTGGATATCTGTATTGACACGTTTTACTCCGAAAATGTACTTCTTCAGACTGATAACTTGTTCTTGATATGTATAAAAGAGTGATGGTTTAATTCTTTTTCTACACTAAAAATATTTTTAGAATGTAATAATCATTTTTTGCAGATAATAACGGTTTAGTCCTACAAGTTTTACTTATTAACCCGTAGCTGGATGGGAGAATAGGTGAGTTCATGCCTTCCCAAAGATATTTGCATATAAGTGAATGCAACGAACCAAACTGGAACTCGGATCTCCAATTAACAATACCGAGCAATTATCCATTACACGACATATCCAGCTTATAGCCTATACACAAGTGGTTACCCATCTAGGTGCTGACCAGGCTTGACGTTGTTTAACTTCGATGACCGTGCGGTAATCGGTCTTTCACCGTGATGTGGCAGTAAGCCATGTATATAAAAAAAGAATATAGTTGCGTGGTGGAAATAAAACAAACAGCAAAAAAAAAAAAAGATACAGTTTCAATCCCAGTCGTAAAGATTAAATCAGTAATTAATTTTAAAGTTTGGGGTATAATATGTCAAATTTAAAACTTAGCCTACGTCATTCAGCTTTTTGTCATACTGATTTTTATTCTTATTTGTTTTTCGTATCTCACATAATATTATTAGATTTGTTAAAAAAATATAACTTTGATTTATTTCGAAATAACGAACTTCTTAGAATTTACGTCCAGGATCATGAAAAAAAAACTCCCTTCACCATAAAAAAATCTCGGCCCAGCCCACTTAACGAAATTTGATCAAATGTCCAAACATCAACATTTTATTTTGGAATGCTACCGGTTGAGAAAATTTAAGCAGTTCTTCATATACATAATTATTATGAAGTACTTATGGGTTTAAGACTTTTGAAAACTCCAGTTTTTCATATGATAAAATCTATTAAAATCATTGATAAACGTGATTCATCTACTTAACTTTTGAATTTGATTGTTTGAATTGAAACTTGCATTTCTTTGTTTTCATATTCCTCAAATAAAGACTGCAGTAACCAAAATATTGGTCCGTTGGTACGAGAAACAGCGCTAAATGGAAAGACTGGATTCAGCCCAACAGAAAGAACTGGTGCCAAATGTACTGACTGGACCAAACAACTTTTCACATAGTTAATTCGATAAGGAAAACATAGCCCCCCCACCCCCTCGGTTGTATTGTCAGTAATGATTGGCTTTTATTAATGAAATAAATTTATTCTTATTTTATTTACAGAATTCGAATTGACCTATCATTTCAAAAGAAGATGTAACTGTGTCTTTCAAAATGACTATTGAACTTATACAATTAGAAATGATAAGGGATATTATCTCAGAAAGATAGTGAAAATTGTCACATGGCTCTCATAGATATTTCTCGAGATGAAAATACCTTGGACAAATCAATATTTATGTGCCGTCAACGTCAATAGATTTTGAGGTCAATGGATTTCTATATATGGGGAGATGTAAAGTCTACCTTTATTCAAAAGAAACTTACTCTTTAGATGATAGAGACCAGGATGAATGTAATTAAAACTAATATTAAAAATCAATTCTAAAACGTACTGGAAGTATAGAAAAATATTCCATACTTCATATTAATGATCGTAGATGATTAATAATGGTAGATCTTTATTTAAACTATTAAATGATCATAGACAAGTAGATGATTAATAATGGCAGATCTTTATTTATTACAAACAGCACACTCAGCTCTAGTACCATCTCCATAAAAGGCACACATCCTTTGTGCTGTTTGCATAAGCTTTTTTTTTCCTTTCTAGAAATAAACGAGTATTAAATGATGAAAATGTGGTTCATTCTTTTCTATATTTACTTTAATTGTCTAATCAGTTAAAATTCATATTCCATACACGAATGCTATAGAACGATGCATTGAAATGTTACCTTTCGGTGTATTTTTGTGTATGTGTTCTTCAGCGTGTGTTTAAATAAGAGAATCACATTATCTTCTATTACTGAATTAATTTATTTTCTATCTTTATTCTTAAGGACCACTGATGCAACTTATAGATTTAAACTGTTATATAACAACATAGTCAACAATGCAAGGGAACGTAATTGACTACTGTATTTCTTGTATTTATTTCTGATACTAGCAACCATATTTGTCACCTTTTGGCAATGATTAATAAAATGAGAGAATGTATATATATATATATATATATATATATATATATATATATATATATATATATAAATGAGACAAAGAATAGATTCCACTGTTCGTAGCATTTACTTTTAAAAAGTACTCAATACTAAGTAGAGCACTACGAGATTATTATTTTTTATTATAAGAGAATAGAAAAAAAACATGTTGAAATTGCTACACAAAAGCTTTCATGTTTCAATAGTTGGATTGTATTTCTTTAAGCGATGTTAAGTAACTGATGATAAAATTACTTTAAAGAAAATATGTCGTATTTTTCTCAATTGTCAATGATGGCCTCTCTATGTTCTTGGTTACCATAACATGAAAAAATAACTTCCCCACCTCCACCCTCTGAGCTTACTTTTCTATTTAGTGTAGATCTGACATTTAATTGGTTAATCTAGACATACCCACAAGTCTATTATTAATTCAACCAACCAACCAATCGACCCACGAACAAACCAATTATGCTATCGACCAACCAATCAATTAATCGATCCCCCAACCAACCAACCAACCAACCAACCAACCAACCAACCAACCACGAACAAACCAACTATCAACCAACCAATCAATTAATCGAACAACCAACCAACCAATCGACCCACGGACAAACCAATTAAGCTATCGACCAACCAATCAATTAATCAACCAAACACCAACCAACAAACAACCAATCGACCCAACCCACGAACAAACCAATTAAGCTTATCGACCAACCAATCAATTAAACGATCCTCCCAACCAACCAAACAAACCAACCAACCAACCAACCAACCAACCCAACCAACCAAACCAACCAACCAACGTCGACCCACGAACAAACCAATTAAGCTATCGACCAACCAATCAATTAACCGATCCTCTGAACCAACCAACCAACCAACCAATCGACCCACGTACAAACCAATTAAGCTATCGACCAACCAATCAATTAACCGATCCTCTGAACCAACCAACCAACCAACCAACCAACCAATCGACCCACGAACAAACCAATTAAGCTATCGATCAACCAATCAATTAATCGATCCCCCAACCAACCAACCAACCAACCAACCAACCAACCAACCAACCAACCCACGAACAAACCAATTAAGCTATCTACCAACCAATCAATTAATCGACACACCAACCAACCAACCAATCGACCCACGAACAAACCAATTAAGCTATCGACCAACCAATCAATTAATCGATCCCCCAACCAACCATCGACCCACGAACAAACCAATTAAGCTATCGCCCATCCAATCAATTAATCGACCCACTAACCAACCAACCAATCAACAAAAAGTTAAAAGAAGGAATTGAGCGACAAATAAATAAAGTCTCTGCTTATTCAAATCATAACTGAATAAGCCAATGAAGAAGTCGTTTTAAATTCTGACATATTCGTAGAAAGTTTACAACAAAAATAATATATACTAAAAAGCGAAACAAATGAAGATCTTTGGATAATCCCATTAAATAATGACAGACGGTTGTATTTTAAAATCTTTATTTACCAAAGAGCAACTGAGATCAAACCATATTGACAATCAGTAGGTCTATAACTTTGGCATCTTCGATTAGCTATTCTTGGATTTTCTTTAAACAGCCTATTTTACTATCTGTAGATTCCTGCGTATCGAATCGATAACAGAATCAATAGAATGAAGCAGTTTGCTGACCAGATGTCGAGTCATTTTTGGTTTATTAACTGTTAAAGAAATGCCCGTTCTATAAGGCAAGTAGGCATGTTTTCTGTGTTGAGGTATACAATTAGAATGAGAAGAATAAGCTTATTTATAACTTGTGCGTCACGCTGGAAAGCAATAGTCAACAGTCATCTTTGGGTATTTCGCGCATTTTGTATGGCAGATACTTATGATAATAGTGTGTTTTATACATCTTATATGCCACATATATGTAACCTTATGCCAAACTATGCTAAGCTCAGTAAATATTAAAACTTATTGCAAGACATACCTCGATGCTGAAATACTTGAGTCGAGTCAAATTTAAGCTGTGTATTTTCCAGTGACATTAGGTGTTCGTAATCATACCGAGGCAAATATATAATTCAGTAAATATTTATGGAAAAACTGGTTTCTTTTTAAAATGTTCACCAAATGTAAGACCGAAGAAGATTACATAATGAAGAGTATAGACGTAAGAGAAAGCATACCTTGAGGTTAGGTAAGATAGATAGCGCTAGACATAGAAGTTGTGATTGTAGTGATCGGAGGAGCAGACTCTTAATGGGGGCTGTTCTCCAAACAAGTCGTTCTTGGGAAGAAGCTAAGTAGAACCTCTTCCTTACCGGTGCGATACGAACGGAATACGAATGATTTGACCCTTCGTACGTGTCATGGTGGGCTATAATTGTAATAGTCAGAACTATTGGAAATAAGGAATGTAGCTCATTTGACAATTTGCTATGTAAATAGTAGCATGATAGGCTTGCGATATTTCGTGACATGAGAAACGTATTGTAAGGTGGAAAATGTTTCATCACTGACAAGGCTGTGTAAACGTTTGAATTATGTCAGTTTTTGACAGCGGGGATTGGGTAGCCCACGATTCAGATACGGCAGCAAAATTAAAAGTTTGGTCTGATCTGAGTCTCGTAAAGATAGTGCATGTTAGAATGAGTCAAATACTTTCTGGAGCGGAATTATGAGCCAACAATGCGATCCTGATTCTCCACAGATTCCCTAATTTGCTGTCTGTGAATTCTCATAAATTTTTGGAAAAAGATAACGGAGTAATTTGCCGATGCCTAGTCCATGTAAAAGAATCCAGAATTTTCTACTTTTAAACGGGTTTCCACCCAAGAGTGGTGATCCCAGTCAACCCTGTTATTTGACACAAAAGCGAAGGATTCATGCCTTTCCAAACCTTATCATT